GCGCCCCCTGGAGGGCCCGCGGCTCCCGCAGCCTCCCCGACTCCGGCAGGGCCTCCCCCTGCCACCGGGACGGGGAATGGTTCATCAAGCTGCTGCAGGCCGAGGTGGAGAAGATGGAGGGCTGGTGCCAGCAGATGGAGAGGGAGGCGGAGGACTACGACCTGCCGGAGGAGAGTGAGTGGGGCGCGCGGTGGGCGCTCGGGACGGCCCCGTGCGCGGCCGCCTTGGAGCAGCTCCCCGGCAGCGGGTGCTGCTGGGCTTGGAGAGGGTTGAAGAGGTTGGGATCGGGAGCAGGAGTTACCCAGAGATCCTATGGGATGAGCAGCTCCTGCAGAAGCTCAGAGGAGACTGGCACAGCGTTCTGGGGGCGCTTCCGAGCTGCGGAAGAAGGGGCTGGAGGGGGGTTTCGGTGCCGAGCTGCTCCGAAAAGATGGAGCAAATTGGGAAGAAAGATGCCCATTCCCCTGGGGAGGAGCTGACCTCGTGCTTTCCCTGCGGCCTCGCCAGTCCTGGAGAAGAGCCGCAGCGCCGTGGGCAGCGCCCAGCTCCTCATGTCCCAGAAGGTGCAGCAGTTCTACCGGCTCTGCCAGCAGAACATGGTGAGCGCCCGGCCGCCGCGGCGCCGGTCCCGGAGGACTGCGGGTCGGCGGGGGCCGACATGCCGCGTCCTCCTCCCGCAGGATCCCAACGCGTTCCCGGTGCCCACCTTCCAAGACCTGGCTGGCTTCTGGGACCTCCTGCAGCTCTCCATCGAGGACGTGAGCATGAAGTTTGCAGAGCTCCAGCAGCTCAAGGCCAACGGGTGGAAGATCATCGAGACCAAGGTGAGTGCACGGGGCCCTGCCTGCTGCCCGAGGACGCGCTCACGGCCCTGCCCAGGGGTGCCGATTGCTCCACAGAGGGACCCATGGTGGGGGGTTGCATGAAAGGGGAGGGCTCATCCAAGGTAATATTGGAATATGGAGCATGGAGTCGGAGGCAGAGCCGGTCTGGATGGGGAGCGCAGGCGTTCATGCTCATCCTCCCTTCATCTTCCTCCCCATCGCCGCTGCTGAGTTATCACCAGTGAAATGAGCAGGCGTTTTTAGCAAATGCATGGAAAGCAAAGCAAAGCGGGCCCAGGAAAGGGGCCTTTCCTCCGTGGTGGTGCCTGAGCGTGGTCGCAGAGGGTCTGCAAAGCGCTGGGCACCCCAGGCACCCGCGG